TTTTGTGACGGGTCATTCACAGTGGTCATGACTGATTTCTTATTTGCTCATGACAACTGAGTGTAAATGCTGTACGGGGTTGCAACCCCATGATGCTATAGTCATATATTATATATTTTTTATTTAAAAAAAAACCATTCTATTAGCAATAATCCATAATGATATTTGGAGACCCACTAATACACCTAATTCTAGGGTTCGATAATTTGTATCATTTGTCAATGATTACACTAGAGTAACTACGTTTTTCTTACTCAAAGTCAAATGCGATGTTAACCAAATAATATCTCAAATTTTGCAATATGATGACAACCCAATTTGGAATCCCCCTAAAAAAAATTTCGCACCGATAACATCAAAATTTTTTTTAATAGTACACTTTTATCATTCTTCCACCTAGAAGGAATTCTTCACAAATTATCTTGTATTTACACTTCACAACAAAATGGAGTTATGAAATGTAAAAAACCTCCCTTTCTACCCATCACTAGTTTTCCCCTTGCAAAACCACATCTCATAACAATATTGGGGTGAAACGGTCCTTAAAGCTACCTACATTACTAACTGTTTACCCTCCAAAATTTGACTTTAAAAGCCCTCTAGAAACACTCTCCAAGTTTTACCGAAAAATAAGTGTAATTTGCTCCCTCAGATATTTGGTTTCGCTTTCATTCATACTTGAAGAAAACAATGAGAGAAAGTTTGTGTGACGAGGAAAAATCCTATGATTTTTTTCAATATTACATGGGTACAAATGTACCAAATATATAGATTTTTGGCAAGACAAAAAATGATTAAAAGATGCTAACAAAAAACTAAAAAATTAGTGGAGAGAGCACCCAGCTGTCCTAACAATAACAGTTGTTCTAACCACTTGAGATAAGACTAAGCTATCCCTAATGTAAGTATACATATATATATACATTCCTAGATATGAACATTCTACACTCCTCAATCTAGATTATATAAATGTTAAGTAACCCTAAATTGGATACAAGATTATTGAACTCCCTTTTTGGTAGTGCTTTGGTGAGTATGTCAGTTGTTTGTTAACTAGTTGGAATGTATAGGAGTGACACATCCGGACTTTCAATTTTTTCTCCGATGAAGTGACGATTAATCTCAACATGTTTATTTTTGTCATGGTGCACAGAGTTCTTGGCCATACTAATAGTTGATTGATTGTCACACTAAATCCTCATTGCAATAGGAGCAGAAAATCTTAATTCTAGTAAAATTTTTTGAAGCCATACTCCCTCACATATTTCATGTGTACGTGATCGCAATTCAGCTTCAGCGCTGCTTCTTAATACAACAGATTGCTTCTTGCTACGCCAAATGACTAAATTA